CAGGTGAGATAAAAGCTACAAAGCAATAAGGATTCTCCAAAATTTAAGGCTAGATAGTACACGTATGCTTGTTTAGATATCTTTGTTGTTGTAAGGGTACTTGGGTATGATGCCAGGCAACGACCTGAGAAGGGTGGACATCCTGCCCTGATGTTAATGCTGAGTGGACGTGGATCCGGATTGCAGTTCGTACTGCTTTCCTTCTGCCAGCAGTTCATGCTTCAGTTTACTGTGGTTCTCCAGGTCAAATCCTGGTTTTTCGTTTTTTTGCTTTTTTTTTTTTTTTTTTTTTTTTACTGAAAACAAATTATTTTTCTGCCACTCATAAACAGTATTTTTTTTTTTTACCAGATATTGAATCCTAGGGTGACAGTTCTTTTCTGTCAGCAGACTGTAGTTGTTATTAGTCTGCCTTGTGGCTCAGTTTACTCATGAGAAATCACATGTCGGCCACATCATTGTTCCTGTGAGTGTAGCCTGTCATTTTTTGGTTAATTTTAATTTCTTTCCTTTGTCTATAATTAAGATTCCACTATCATGTTTCTAGACATTTGTCCTACTTGCTAGATTTTTTTTTGAATCGTGGGATAGCATGCATCAGATTTTGAAATTTTGCAATTTCTCATTCTTAACCCTCGTCAGACATTGATTCTGCCCTGTGCTTTTCTCTTGCACTCACTTTCTGTGAGTTCTAATTATATGTGTGTTAGATCTTTTCTTTCTGATTTCGTATTTTCATGATTTTATTATTATTTTCTGAGTATTTTTCTTCAAATGTCTTTTTCCATTTACCAATTGTCTCTAAACTACTGAAAATCTTATGCATTAAGATTTAAATTTCAAAAATGGATGCTTCCTATCTACCATCTTTCGTAGATTTATTCTCATTGAAATCCAGTGTGTATTCTACCATTATAGCTCGTATCAATTCAGATCAACCTTTTTTTAAAGTGCTTGGTTGCTGCTTTTTAATGGCCACCTTGTCTTGGACGGTCCCTGCCCATGCTATCAGTAAATGTGTGACTCTCTGAGAGGCAGCTCCAGCACTGAGGAGTGTCTGAGGGCCAGGCTGACTGTGTTTACGGGAAGACTCATCATCCTCTCCCAGGCCTGACTCTGCTGAGACTTGGGTCAGGCCATCTCTGAGCGAGAATTCAGGCATCTCAACTACTCCTGCCTTTCGTGTCTGTCTGGGAACCTTTGTTCTTGTTAGTGTCAGTCATGATGACCTTGCCTCCTCCAGGGGATGCAGAAGGCTCAGCTGGTTAGATTTCCTCTGGATGTGAGGAAATAAAAAGAGCAGAAGCTCTTTATGCTTACAAGTGGCTTTATAGATGAACAAAGAAAACCAGCACAGCAAAACTGGAGAGTTTTGCTTTTTTCTTTCTAACTACTGAGACTGTAGACCAAATAAATAAGGACCAAAAAGCAGAAGTCATCTTAGTATTACGCTTTTCCCTCTAACTGACTAAGCATCTTCTCGTATTTTATTTGCTAGTATGGTTTTTGGTTTACAGAGGAGATGAACAGATGTTATACATAGTTTTTATATAGAACCATAGAACTTCTCATGCTGTTTTTTAATAAAGATTTATTTTTAATTTTTATCACAAAGATATACAGAGAGGAGGAGACACAGAGAGGAAGATCTTTTGTCCGATGATTCAAGCCTCAAGTGACCTCAATGGCCAGTGTTGTGCCAAAGCCAGGAGCCAGGAATTTCCTTCAGGTCTCCCACATTGGTGCAGGGTCCTAAAGCTTTGGGCCGTCCCCGACTGCCTTCCCAGGCCAGAAGCAGGGAGCTGGGTGGAAAGTGGGGCTGGGATTAGAAGCACCCATATGGGATCCTGGTGTGTTCAAGGCGACGACTTTAGTTGTTAGGTCACTGTGCTGGGCCCTCTTGCTGTTTTTTAATCTAAAAAGTCTTCCACCTTTTCGTTCTAATTCTCCCACAATAACACTACTATCATTCTAAAAGTTTATGCTGATTGCCTTGTGGACAATCTCATTTTTAAAAATCTGAATGTTCTTCCTCATGGGGTCATTTAACATCCTCTCTTAGTCTCTGTGTTTCTTTTAAAGTGGATGTTAACTGTGGAGGTTTGATTAAATTCAGGTTAAATTTGTTTTTGGCATGGATTTTTCATCGATGTTAATTTTTTTTTCTTTCAAAATCTTCTTTTGTGAGATTGTGCCCATCACTCCAGCATATTGGAATGCTTTTGAGTCCTAATTCCATTTCTTTATCAGCTCTTCTTCCTTTCTATCTCTGATTTGAAAAGGGGATAAATATACCTTTTGTTGTTCAGCTTACTGATGAATATGTTGACAGTGACGGCAAAAGAAATACAATCAATACGTTGAATACATTGATAAATATTTGTTAAAGTAAATTTGTGCTATTGTTCTGTTGAGATTACCTTTTTCTTCAACTTACAAATTATTCATTCCTCTTCATATTCACCTCCATTTTTTTTAGTTTCTTTTTGCTTCTTTTGTCTGTTTCTGCAACAGGGACCTTTTCAATAGTGTGTCCAGCATTTTGTTCTGTGCTTGCATCATCATCTTCCTTTCCTTTCCAACTCTTAGGCCTTCTCAAGCATTTTTTTCTTTCTTTTTTTTTTTTTTTAAGATTTACTTAGATTTTTTGGAAAGGCAGATTTACAGAGAGGAGAGACAAAGATCCTCCAATTCACTGGTCTGCTGTCCAAATGGCTGCAGTGGCCAGAAATAAGCTGATCCAAAAAGATGGCTTTTTAAAATTCAATATCCCTGGACCTGGCGTGATAGCATGGTGGTTAAGGTCGTTGCCTTGCACGCACCGGGATTTCCTATGGTTGCTGATTCTAATCCTGGCGGCCCCACTTCCCATCCAGCTCCCTGTTTGTGGCCTGGGAAAGCAGTCGAGGACAGCCCAAAGCCTTGGGACCCTGCACCCATGTCGGAGACCCAGAAAAGCTCCTGGTTCTTGCCTTCAGATCAGCGCAACACTGGCAATTGAGGTCACTTGGGGAGTGAATCATCGGACGGAAGATCTTCCTCTCTGTCTCTCCTCTGTATATCCGCCTTTCCAATAAAAATAAATAAATCTTTTTTTTTTTTAAATTCAATATCCCTTTTATAGAGCCACATCTGTAAAGTGTGTAGGTATATTAATGCTCCTTAATGTTCTTTCTAAACCAATACTTAGCAGTGTGTAAACAAGAGCAGCAGCAGTTAGGTGACAGAAGCAAGCCGTTCATGAGTCTGGCCAATTGAAGTCCTAGCAGCGGACTGCTGTAGATCAGGCCTGGGGGTAGGTGTAAGTTATATAGATTCATGTGTCCAGCACCCAGTCTGAGAACAATGGACCATTCTGTTTTTCTCATCATCTCTTCCCTAATGTCTGCTTGCTGGTTTGCTTCATTGTCTTTTTATTGCTCTATCCTGGATTATTTTCGTCTCACCTGTATCTCTTGTCTGCCTCCCTTTTTATTTTCCTGTGTCTCCATCAGCACCTTATTCTTCACTCTGATTACTGAATGTAAAAGAGAACATAACATTATATTATTAGAATGGTTCCTAGTCTGCCTTTTCATATTATGATCAAATATTATCATCAATTAAGGGAAGCCATGAATTTTAATGTGTTCGGTGAGGATGCTCTGTTGCTCTTAGTGGGATGGTCAGCATCCCCAGACTAGTACCACAACAGTTGTCAATAAGACCACACTCCTGTTTATTTTTTAAGTCCTATTCACTTTCTCTTATAAATTAAAAAATTTTAAGATTGACTACATTGTTCTGAGGGATACATTCTCAGTGGACCTCTGCTTAGGGTGGGGAAGGGTCAAGGTGTGGAGAAGGGTACATGAGATCAATGTTTCAGTTCTTGCTTTTTTCCTCTTGTGTCTGCAGCAGGGGTGAAGGGGGAGGTCTCCTCCTTGCTGTGAGACTACATCAGCATCTGGGGATGGGGGATACCATTTGACCCCAGGGTAACCCACTGCCATCTAGACAAATGGAAGCCTATCACCCAAATGTTGGATTCTGCTTTGATTATTTACTATTGTTTATATTTTTTAAAGATTTATTTATTTTTATTGCAAAGTCAGATATACAGAGATGAGGAGAGACAGAGAGGAAGATCTTCTCTCAGATGAGTTACTCCGCAAGTGACCTCAATGGCCAGTGTTGTATTGACCCGAAGCCAGGATCCAGGAATTTCCTCCAGGTCTCCGACATGGGTGCAGGGTCCCAAGGCTTTGGGCTGTCCTCGACTGCTTTCCCAGGCCACAAGCAGGGAGCTGGATGGGAAGTAGAGCTGCTGGGATTAGAACCGGCGCCCATATGGGATCCTGGTGTGTTCAGGGCGAGGACTTTAGCTACTAGGCCACTGTGCCAGGCCCCATTGTTTATATAATTTGAAGAGAAACCAAATTGCCAGTCTTTTCATCTAGAGAAAAATGTAGCTATTAAAGGCACTTATGTTGGGCTCTTCTAAGACTATCCTAGCCATTTTTATGTTTTCAAATTATTTTATTGATTTGAAAGTCAAAGTTATATAGAGAGGAAAAGACAGAAGGGCATTCTTCCACCTGGCAGGTCACACCACAAGTGCTTGCAACAGCTGGTCCTGAGCCAGGCTAATTCCAGAAGCCAGGAGCTTCAAGCATGTCTCCCATGTGAATGGCAGAGACCTAAACACGAGAATCATTCTGATGCGTTCATTCACAGGGAGCCAGATAGGAAGTGGAACCAGTCAGGACACCAACTAGGACCTCAGGCAGCAGCTCTCACTCACCACTCCACAATCAATCTGTCTCCCTACCTCAGCATTGCCACTGTGTATATTTGATTTACAGGATTAAAGTGTGTTTTTAAAAAAATGATTTAAAAATATAATACAAACATATGCACATGGAACCTCTGTATGAATCTGCAAATTAAGAATATAATTCCATAGTTTGCTAATAATATACAAATAATTATACATTTTCACAATTCTTTTTTGATTGCAGAGAAAGAGTCTTGAATAAAGCTGGATACCTTCTTTGCAAAACCAAACAGAAGAGAAATAGGAAAAGAAAGAAACAGCAGAGTAATCCCCATAAAATCATGCATGAAAAATCATCTGAAACGTTAAGTTATGTTATGCTGGCAGATGGGGACCCATGTCAAAGTGGAGAGGAAGACTTTACAGAGATTACAAGAGAGTCAGCATGTCCCTCGACTAGCAGTCCAGGCAATGAAGTACAAGATTCTGTGAGTGGCTGCAAGCAAAAAAGTTGGAAATGTGCAGATCCTGGAGACGGCTTTCCAAACTGTGAAACCACATTGGACAACACACCACCCTATCACCCTGCTAAGGAAGGTGATGACTTACTTCTAACTTTGTCATCAGGGTCAAAGGAAAGTTTTGTTACTTGTCCAATAGGGATGCAAGATATTTCCTGTGTAACAAAGGATGTCTGCTCTTACATGAAGGTAGAAAAGCAAACTGGGCATAGGCTTACACTGACGTCAGAGATAAAGGACCCTCCAAGCTCATCTATGCAGAAGAGAGAGATGGCAGATAAAAGCCTTTCAAATAAGCCAATTCAGTGTCATCAGCATGGATCTAGAGCTTTAGATGAAGCTTGTCTAGAGGAACCGGGAGTACATGCCACTGAAAACAATTGGGCTTTCTTCACAACTAACCTCACTGGTGAAGAACTACAGCAAGGCTCTGACAGACAACCATATCTTGGTGTCTGGCCTGAAGGACCTCATAAGTTTGTATGTGAGCAGAGATCAAAGAGAAATCGATCGCGTAAACAAGCCTGTCCCGACAGCAGGGTGGTTGGAGTGATTTCTGCTTTTGAAGGAGTGCCAGAACCAGAAAGCGGCCCAGAGACGGTGACGGGGGACAGCCTGCCCATTGGAGCTGAAGATGTGTCACCTCCGGGTGAAACTGCAGCTTCATTTACAGAAACAGAAACTAGTATCCTACTAAGTAGCCCGCCTGACATGGACGTCCCTAAGAGTGGCTTAGAATCCTCAAAGAACACAACAAAGAGACCGAGAAGGATTTTCAATTTGGCACCAAACTTTGGCTTACAGGAACAGAAGTATGTCAGTGCAAAAGAAAGAGAGGAATGTGGCTTAGTAACTAAAAACCATGGATTTAAAATTCTGTTGGAAGGAACAGAAGATAGAATTTCAGAAATAAATAGCCAAGAAGAAGATAAGCAAAAAATTATAACCTGTGATCATAAACCCTCATGGTTTCACCTTGATGCTATCAAAGATTCCCCAATAAATATTGGTGGACAATTTTATTCCCATTGCCTGTCATTTAACAGACTAAGGCACTGTATGTATTTTTACAAAAACTCTGTTCCTTCCCTTGTACTACATTATATGTTTAGCTATTGGAAAATCTCTTTTACAAACAAGAGGCAATTTTTGACTTTCAAATCCCAGGCAAGAGTAAGTGGTAAACTAAACGACACAGGGTTTGTTTCTTCAGGAATTCTAAGCAATCAGCCTGACGCCTTGCACTCTGTGTGGGTCACTTCTGAACTTCACTTTTTAAATGGAAGACTTGATGAAAAATTGAAGACCCGGGAAGCATCTGAGTCTTTACAGTGCCTGCCAAGTGAGGAGATTCAAGATGCCACACGTATGGGCTTTCCTCCCCTTGGGCTACCATTATCGCAAGGGTTTGCCTTTCAACTGGTAAAGCTTTTTGGACCTCCTGGAATCCCAATGGGTAAACTGCTTTTTATTTTCATGAAAATAACAGTTCCATTATTATATGCAAGTTAATTTCTGAGGTCTTTTTATTCTATTTGTTTTTAGGATTTTGTGTTTTTTTTTTTTAATTATGATGCTTTTCACCAGAGGGAATAAGGACTCATAGTTAATGGTTCTTTTTTTTTATTTCAAAGATTTATTTATTTATCTAAAAGTCATAGTTAGAGACAGAAAGAGAAGGACACTCTATCTTCCATCGCCTGGTTTACCTCCCAAAGGGCTCCAAAAGCCAAGGCTGGGTTGGGCCAAAACTGGGACTCCATCTGACCCACCCCCATGGGTAGAAGGTAGCCAAGAACTTGGGCACATTAGTAATGAATGGCTCAGAAATGGAGCATTCAGGATGCAAACTGGTGCCCATATGGAATGCTGGCATTGCAGGTCATGACTGTCTGCCATGCCACAATGATGGCCATAAAACCTCATATTAAAGCAGCTGCCCATTGCCATCAGTACTTTTCTTTCTTTGTTTTAAAGTGTATTTTGCGAACTGGCGCTATGGTATAGTGGGGAAAGCCACTTCCTACTATCCTGGCGTCTCATCTGGGTGTCAGTTTGTATTGAGCTGCTCCCCTTCCTACCCAGCTCTAATAATGCACCTTGGAAAGCAACAAAAGGTGGCCCAAGTATTTAGGTCGCTGTGCCCACTTGGAAGCAGCTCTGGGCTTCTGGCTGCAGCCTAGCACACCTCTGGCTGTTACAGTCGTTTGGGGCAGTGAGGCAGCAAATGGAAGACTTCTCCTTCTGTCTCTCTTTTCTCTCTGTAACTCTGCCTTTCAAATAAATTAATTAATCTGTAAAGATTTATTTTTATTTTGAATTAACACATATTAACTGTACATATTTATGTGCATGTATAAAATGTAAAATCAGTTCAGGATAATTGGCATGTGTATCACCTTAGATATTTACCAATGCTTTGAGTTGGGAACATTCAAGTTGTTAGCTTTTTCACAAAAACAAGATGCCAGACACAGCAGCTGAGCCACACAAGAAGCCTTTATTTCAGCAAAGGAGGTAATGGGGTAGGAAGAAAATGGGAGCAGAGCAAAGACAAAGCACATGGAGAGACAAAGAGTACAAGAAGAGCAGAGAGCCAGCAGGAGGAAGAGAGAGAACAAAGGAAAGAGGCATCTTTATAGCCTTGAGGTGGGTATAGGGAGTTCCAGAACAGGGATTGGCAGATACAGCTGTTAGTGGACACAGGTGTAAATGCCTCAGGGGATTGGTGGAGCACACAGTTGAAGCCTGAAGGTCACTAAGCTTGATTAGGCAAGTGGGTTTAAGGTGGTTGAGATCTAGGAAATTTACGGTAGTGCTGGGCAACCAGTTATTCAAGGGGATTGGGAGCTAGGAGATTTAAGGCAGTACCGGGTCAGTAGGTATTCAAGTCATTCTGGGTGGCACTGCGTCCAGTCCAGGATAGACGGGTCACTGTTTGAGTCACTTGTTACACCAATCCTCTCCACTCACATTTTGAAATATTCAGTTAGTTGTCACCATAGTTATCTCACTGTGCTATAGAACATTAGTAGTTAATCCCATATCTAGCTGCACTCTATACCTATTAACCATCTTCCATCCAACTCTTCCTTCCCCACAGCCTTCCAATACCTTTCTTAATGTTCTTAAATACATAGAACACTTGGGCTCTCAATCTAAACAGACTGGAAAGAATGAAGGATGAGGCAGGCAAACAGTGATTGTGTAGCAAATAGAGATGGGCTGCTTGTTGGTGATGGTGTTGCCAAATCATTCTGCTTTTTCTACCTTTCTCTCTTCAGTATATGGTCCTTTCCTTCCTCACTCACAATTACAGTTCCCTTATACCAGATTCACTAAACGGGGAGGAGCTGGCAAAGAATGGATGATTAAATAGCTGAAGTTAGTTTTTAGAGAAGGGTACTCAAAAAAAAAAAAGTACTTCAGAGATTAAGAGAAAGACCAATAAACTGTAAGATTTCTTCAGGCTCCCTGGGCCTTGCTTTGTGGCAAAGCTTTTCCCTTGGAATTTTTCACTTTTCCCAAAAACTTCTGATGTTCCAGACAGGCACACTCTTAGCCACTCAGAACCAAGACTGGCTAAGCCCCAGGGCCAGGACTGGTAGCTAGTAATCTGTTCTTAGGGTTCTGATATTATGCTTATATTTGCAAATATTATGACTAGTCAAATCTCCACTGTCATTGTACCTTAGGTGCACAGAAGAAACACCAATTTTAAAAGAGTATGTTACATTTGCCTTGGGGCATTTTAGACTTCATTTTTGGTGATGGTGATAGAGGCAATTGACAAATAAAGACATTTTAGATTAAGGATCTTAAAAGACCCATATCCTAAAATTGCAAGTAAAATGTATTGTGTAATTTTGTGCCCCTTTTCATGAAGTCCGTAAGTGTAATTAGCTTCCTAGAGGAAGAATAGCAATCCCTGCCTTAGGTTGGTATCAGGAAACTTGAAGGCACTGCTGTGAAAACATTTTAAACTTCTTTTTCTCACTTCCTCCTTCGCGGTATCATAGTAATTAACAATGATCATGCATCTGTTAATTAAACTTTAGAATTCTTTTAAAAGGAAATACATGTCATCTATCAAATGGTTTAATTCTAAATGAGGAGACAAGACAAACACAAAACAAAATTAGTGCAAGTAGCAAATATAACAATCTTACGAATTTTTATGAGGTTAGCGGCGCTAAAGGAATTGTTGAATGTAGGGTTGAGGGGGTGCTTTCAATCTGGAAGTGAATTACAGTGTTTATACAAGAGAGAATGCGGTTTGAAATAAAGCCGAAGGAAAGTGTTTTCACATTTGGTAATAGCATGTTCTTAAAATAGTATAGGAGAAAGCTGTAAGTCGAGGCTGTGAACCAGTTTGGCTAGATTGGACAAACCAAGCTAAGTTAGGCAGTGATTTCAATTGAATTCAAGTACACAGTACAATTGTGTAATAGGAGTATTTAAAAGCTTGAAAGACCAAACTACTCTTGATGTAGAGAAAACGTGAGTATAGGAAAAATGTTTATTGTGGTTTGGAATAGCTCTGTGAGTGTATTAATGTTTGGATTAGTATATGTGTAGATATTATATAAATGTGTATGTATAAGTTTATGCTTACATGATAACAAATTACACTACATGTAATAAAGTTTTCATTCCATCTAGACAACCTTTAGTTATAGAGATCACAGAGAAATCCCTAGTTTAGCCACCTCTGAAATATCTTTAGGACCAGACTATTAACATCACAGCGATCCACATACCGTGTTTGTATATTAGTAAGTTCAGGGTAATTGTTTATGTGACTTTAAAGATGAGATTTGTTCCCTTATTTTTCACAGAATCCTTGTTGCCTGATGATTATGTTATTCCCCTTGACCGCAGGACACTCAAGATGATTTATTTGCAATGGAAGACATCAATAGAGGTACATTTCTATGGTTGTCAAAGAAGGCCTTTAGTATTTTTTGAAAGATTTATTTTTATTTATTTGAAAGGCAGAGAGAGAGCCAGAGAAAGAGACCATCCATCTGCTGTTCGCTCCCACAGATGGCCAAAATCACTCAGGCTGGCGCTGGGCTAAGCTAAAGCCATGAGCCAAGAACACCCTCCTGGTTCCCCACTTGGGTGACAGAGGCTCGAGCACCTGAACCATCCTCCACTGCTTTTCCAGCAGCTAGGAGCTGGATTGGAAGCAGCACATAGATGCTGTTTTATTGCAGGTGGTAGCTTAACCAGCTGTGCCACTACACCCATTTCTTCAAAAGAAAAATTGGAGAAAATCTATCCCATCAAACTTATCAGGAAGGTATTGCATACCTTATGTTAAATTTAAAAGAAATCTACAGGAATGGGTAAATAATATATGCACTTTTTTCCCCCAATTAGTCCCAAAAAGAAAGTTTCATTTAATTATCTAGCTTTCTTGCAGTATGTGCAAGTGTAAGAGCTCACTATGAGACTAAAGCAACAATTTTAGAACAGTCGCTTCTTTCATTTCATATTTTTCTCTTGGCTGGCCCACAGTCTTATCCTAAATAACAGTTACAAATTAGAGTCGCATTTACTTGGCGTTTGAAATACTTCATTATAGGTGTGATCTGTGGGTCATGGTGGAAAGATATGACTGTTGAGAGGGCTATTCATTTTCCGAGTAGCTCAAAGACTGGCTTGGGATATCTGAAAAGATGATGGCTGGACACCCTAGAGAGCCAATCCTGGGAGTGCCGGGGGTGCTGTTCATGTTGCCTGATTGTGACTTACATGAACCCAGAGGCAAAGCCAGAAGTCTCAAAATAATAAAATGAAAAAATAAAGTGAATCATATTTTTGATCCTTCAGGACAGCAGGTATTTCTTAACTGTTCGTATAAGCTTATGAGAAAAGTAGATTTGTTGGTGTTCCTAGAGTAAAATAAAGGACATATTTCCTAACATACTTCTCAGAGATATCAAGATAATTGGATACCAAAATAAAGCCACAAATCTTCCTAAATGCATGTACACACAGTCACAAGCACGCATGCATTCATAATTAGACACACAAACAGCAATATTTTAAATGTTCGGATTAACATTTACTTCCCTACCAGTGTTGTGATTGTAGTATTTCTTTTGTTGTTTTAGGAATATCCTATATGACTAAAAAGATAGTACAAGTTCAAACCCACTGCTAAATCTTAATAATTGTTTTATGTATTTTGATTTTAATTTCTAGGAACGACAGAAGAAGACTGGTTTAAAAAATGAGAATTCCTTGAGCTGTAAGTACAACTTATTCTAGAGGCCTCTATATGATCAGGAGAAAGTGCATGCTGACAATATTTGGTTGTTGCAGCTCCTAGATACCAACCAATCACAACTGAAGAATAAAATACAGTGTAGCTTGTTACCATAGCAACCCTATCGCACATGTGATTTTTAAATGTATGTCTTTTTGTGAAAGACAATGAAGCCTAGATTGTAGCTCCCAAATTTATTTTCCAACTTAATGGTTTAGAGCGTATTTTGGAGCATCCTGCCAGCACACAATGCACAGGAGATTTCCTCCCTGATACATAATGAGAGCTAGGAAATAGGGAGGTAGATTACATTTAAGTGCTCTGCTAAAAGATTCTGCAGGAAAAGAGACAATGCATATAGACAAATTCAGGCTATATGATAACTTGACATGAAGCTGACATTAAAATAAATGCATGGCACTTTTCCACTAAATGCCCATATTATGCAATAAACACAGCTGCTACTTCAGCTTGTAAATTTCTGCACTTGATAAGAATTGAATGCACTGTGCTTTTGCCATATGTTTTCTCTCTTAATTTCATCTCCTATTTGTAAGAATATCCTGTTTCCTTTTCTCAGAGACCTGTAAACGCAGTAAAAATATTTTTGTTTTAATCTTGTTTCTGAAGGGAGGGCCAGATGAACAGAAGATCAGAGCGAAGAATTTGCATACTTGGAGGGACCACTAGAAAATGAATACTAAATAGGGCCTAGGTAGAGTTAAGAGGTCTGAGGAATCCTGGAGAAAAGGGGTGACGTCTTCCATTTGTTCAGCACAATGGGCTGAATCGCTCATGGCGGCCACTGATGTGCACACGGATGACCCAGCAGTGAAGACTGCTGCCCTGAGGAACCCGTTCCAGGGATCTGAGTCGGGAAGGGCACCTTTTTCCTTTCTCCATGTGGTAGTATGCCCATGCCAACAGCAGCCAGTAAGCATGGACACTTTTTGTTTATTTTGTATCAAGGGCATTTTTGAGGTTAAAATATTGACTTTGACCTTGATGTGGCATGTGGGTGCTGAACTGCCTGCTACAAACCTGGTCTTCTCACAAAACAGTCTGTCTGATGATTACGCTCATCATCTTGCCAGGGCATTTCCTGAGTGTTGAAGTTCTGTGCAGACTTTTTTATTTTCTCTACAATTACCATGTCCAAAACCTTCCTGTTGTGGATTTAACAGAAGGTACTGTCGGAAATCCTTAAACGGAGGAGACTGGCGAGGAGATTCTCTTTGGCTGCCAAGTTCCAAAGTGGCCAGGTGTTGGACATGGCTTTCCTCTGATACTGTGGCAGTGTATATTGATGATTCACTTTTGTGTGATGGAAATGGCTGGATCCTCAGAGAACGAGGTAGATAGAACAAGTTTCATGTGGGGACAGGAAGTTGGGAAAGGTCTGGGGAATGAGCTCTTGCATGAGGCTTAGGCTAGACAGATGTGAACTGAGGGAACATTGCTTGAGGAGTGACAGACCAGGGTGGCAGAGACTGGAAACTGGGAACAAACTCCCTTTGCGTTACTGTGTCATCAGGATTTGCCTGGGCTTGTGTTTGTTTGTAGTCAAGTTCTGCGGTCTTCACGGAGCTGCTGGAGATCCAGATCATCGGGAAAATTTGTCAGATGCTCGGTACCTGCCAAGGGATTCTCCCCAGGATATTCATGGACACCAAAATTAGCTTGACGAATCTGTCAATCATTGTTGATAAGTTTCCTGAGTAATTAAAAAAACCTCAACAGAAGAGGTAACAATTTGGAACTTTATTGCCTCATTTTGAAGATGTTTGCCATAACTTTCATTTGTTTTACAGAAGAAAGTCAGGTACAGTAAACCTGAGAGTAGCCATTGTTTTTGTTGTTGTTTGTTTTTAATTGCAACTGCGTTAGAAGGGTAGGCCTGTTGTGGGTATGGAAAACAGGCTCTTGGAACCTCAAAGCAAGAACTGAACAGGGGCCCACAGACAGCCAAGTTTAGGCAGCCAAGATTGTTACATAAGCCAAGTGCACACCCCAAGGCAACTGGCAACAGGCCTCCAAAAGGAATTCAAGAAGGACTCGGGTCAGAGTCCCTCGAGGGCCAGCAAGCAAAAAGATGCTCTGTAGGATGGCAGGGGTGAGCCTCTGAAAGAGCTCAAGCCTTGACTTCAACATGGACTGTTCATTTACAGCCAGAGTCAGGGTGGTTGCTGGAGAGACTTCTGCCAGATATCTTGGGTGGAGGCACACAGGTGTCTGGGGCAGAGAGATATTCCTGGGGACTTTGCCCTGGGATCCTTGGCAGAGAGGTGGTAGCACCCTGGGCTGGCCTTCACTCATGCCAGCAGACAGGTAGTCTTGAACCTAGCTGCTTTTCAAACAGGCATTTTTCAAACCAGCAGGAACAAGTCAATGTTAAATTTCTATAAACATTTTAAGTTTTCCTCCTTCATGTTGTTTTCTCATGACCCCTCCCTACCCTGTGCTTCAGGTTCTGAAAACCAAGTTTTTAATCCCAAATTATTTTATGATGGTCAAATGCAAGGATGCTTCAAAAAGTTTGTGGTAAATGGAATTAAAATAAATTTTACCACTACAAAAACTTTTAAACCCATCCATACAGGAGTCTTAAGTTTTTGAAAAATATATACATTGGATACATGGAATCTATATAAGAAATCACTTTTTATTTCATTTTAATTGAAATTAACATAAAAATTCATATTTGAAAGCTATAAGCTAGGTGTGAAAGTCTAGTTGCTATCTAATATGTAGATCTTTGCTTAACCCCTAACTTTCAGGAAGGGAGCCCACCTGCCTCAGTTTCCCCAATTTTGACAGATCCTGTTTAGCATTTCGCAAGGAAACAACCTTCAGGTACAGGGGAAGGGCTGGCAGCTGCTGGGTGAGTACATATTTCTATTTTTTTCCTCAGATTTATTTTTGTTTTTATTTGAAAGGCAGAGTTAAAGTGAGAAGGAGAGACAGAAAGAGAGGTCTTCCATTTGCAGGTTCACTCCCCAAATGGTTGTGATGGCTGGAGCTGAGCTGAGCCAGTTCAAACCCGGAAGCCAGAAACTTCTTCCTGGTCTCCTCTGTAGATGCAGGGCCTCAAGGACTTGAGCCATTTTCCATTGTTTCCCAGGCCATAACAGAAAGCTGGATTGGAAGTGGAACTGGTGCCAATATGGGATGCCAGGGCTCGTAGGCAGAGGCTTAGCCTCCCATTTCTGGGTGTTGTCTACCAAGCAGACTTTCAGCGCAGCTTCCTGTTTAGAGCACTGCTTCCTGAACCACATCTTACAGTTACTGAGAGTTAGGGGTCGTACTAGTAAATAATGCAGGTTCCTGGGTCTCTAAAAAGCAAGATTTTTTCGTGTTTAGTATTTTTTGTTGTTGTTCAAATCAATTAACATGTGACCTTTTGCTCTTCAATTTCCAAATTTTGTTGCTGCAGTCTTTCTCTTCTTTCACTTTCAGTTGAAAACAAAAATAGTAACAGAAAGCTACTGTCCCCTAGAAAAACCCCAAACTTACACCCTCTACATTTTAGTGGGCTTTCAAGGTGGGGGTGGAAGTTAAATACTTTTGTTCAGTCTGCCATCCTAATCAGAAGTTGAGTACTTTATTTAAAGATATTTTCCTTCTGCTAAATTCTTAAGGTATTGAGTTTGTTTTTCTACTAGATCTGTAGTTCTCTTTTGATAAACACCGTGATCTCCAATATTTGGCTGAACGTGGGCTGCTTTGAAACTGGACTTGCGTGTGGCCACAGGATGAGATGTTTTCAGCACAAACCCGACCAGGTTATAGATCAGAGCTTTAAGCACAGACAGCTGGGCAGGATCTCTAGTGTCTGACGGGTCCTTGGTTTCTTGGGAACCTTCAACAGCAAGCACTTACATCAGAACCTGTGCCACCTTGTTGTCCCAAGGGTAGTAGTAGAAATATTTAACAGTTGGTATAGCATGAGCAGAGACCAGTTCCGAAGCATATTTATGCTGTAATGATGCATACTACCTGTACATACTCCTATTTAGGTTCTAAAATCCCACAACAACTTTGATCAGTACCCCTGCTCCTAACTCTATATCCCCCACTTACTACCCTATACTAATTTCCAGGATAGAGTTTCATAGAATTGAGTTTGAGCTACCATCCCTCCCTCCGTGGCTCCCTCCCCAAGGCTTATACCACATTCTCTGTGATCAGTAGCAAGTGTTAGGTGCTATGGAAATAAAAGAGTCTTTGCCTTGATTTTTCACACCAAAGGAATGAAGTCTTAAGTGCAAGGCGTTTAGGCAATGTGGGGTAGAATGATCAAAGGCAGGTTGTCCCGAGGATATTCCAGTATTCTCACACTCTGTCCAGGCCACCAGAGATCTGACTACTTTCTCTGTCAGTCTGACTAAGATGATGTACTCTATACTACTTTCCTTCTCTTATCCTCCTTCCAGCCTGAAGATTCTATTGGACTTACACTGGGAGGAGGAGGGAAGGGCCAGGCCAGGAGGCAGTGTTAGGGCATGGGGAGTGGGTAGGGCGATGGCAAGGACAAGGTCCCACGTCTGACTGGCTAAGTTATGCCACCACCTGGAACAGAGAGATCTGATGTGACAGAAAGTGCGAGACCAATCAGGAGTGCATCACAGAAATGGCCAAACAGGTAGATTTTCTTCCCCTCTGACTTCTCAATTCACATGCCACTTAGATATTTATGCAATGAGATGAATAAGTATACATATATGACTAATTTGTGTTTTAAAGTTTAAAAAGCCAAAATTCAGTGGAGGAAAATAGGACTTAGAATTAGAATCGAGACAGCTAGTTCCCATCTAATTTTGCAAGTGAAAATGGAATTCTATGATGTTAAAGAGTTTTTAGTAAGCCTGGAAAATTTGCTGTTGGTTTCAGTCTTTCTGCCATCTTGGCATCCCGAGTAGAGGGCTGAATTATTGTGAAGCATTCTAAATCATGGACTATTTGAAACTGGAGGTTTGAGGGCTAAATTCATAGTTTCCATTAGTTCTTCATATATAACTTTATCTTTCCCACATTTTGTTAAATAATACTAGTTACAGAAACATTTGAGTGCTAATTCACTTGCTAAAATTATTTGTAAGGTTATTTTCTTCAGGTCTATCATAGCAATATTTTCCAAGAGAGACTGGGTTATTCATATGATAGAGAAATGGGATGGAACCTACAACTAGAACGTGTGCCATATCACCTCAGTGCAGCGTGGAGAGTTGGTCACAGGAACCTCGGCCCCAGGAGTAGCCCGCTGCTCCGAGGCTGCCATCCTGTGGGACTGTTGCTTTGGGTGTGTTCAAGATGGTCTAAGTATAGACCAAATACATATTTAAACAGTTTTTCTTTGAGATGCAGAAATAAAGATAGAACGATCAAATTGTCCACAAGGTGGAGGGGGAAGGGGGCGTTGTGAAGCCAGGAACCAGGAATTCAGTCCAGGTCTTCCACGTGGGCAGCAAGGACCTAATTCTAGGAGCCACCAGCTGCTCCCTTCTAAGAGGTGCACAAACAGGAAGCTGGAGCTGCAGCCAGGGATTGATCAGGCACCCTGCTGTGAGATACAGGCGTTCTATCAGGATATCTTAAATTGTAGGCAAAATGGCTACCCCTCTCCTCCAACTCCTATTTTAACCTCTTTCCTGGATACCCTTGGGGACCCAGTCCTTAACTGCCAGCCTTGTCAGGATCCTCTCCTCGGCTGTGTGCTCGCATCAGCTCCTCGTCAGGGCAAGGACTCTGTCTGCAGTTCGGCTCCTGGTTCCTAGCAGCACATTCTGCTTTCTCGCACCTGTTCGGGAACGCCACCTGCCAGCAAACACTGCCATGCACATGCCCAGCCAAACCCCCAGCTCCCAAAGCTGCGTGTGGCCTTGCTTCCATGCCCCATGCTACCTGGGACCCCTTCCACGGAAGGAAATGGAAGGAGTCAGAAGTGTCTGTCATGGAGTACAGTCTGGTAAAAATGTATTAGCCACACGTGGAACTCAGTTGTACAGTTAAAAGGTAAAAAGAAACAAGTGAAATTAACTTTAATATGTATTAGCCCATGATATCCAACAGATTATCATTTTCAACATGAAACCAACATAGAAATTATTCATTATATACTTTCATATCGTAAATTAAGAATACATTTGAATTCAGGAAATTCAGAATACATTTGAATCTCAATTTCACTAGCCACTTTTCAAATGCTTAATAGTCACATGTGACCAGGGGCTCTGGAATTGGACAATGGAGTTCTAGAATGAAAACAGTGCAATTTGAGGTTAGGCAAAAACACTTGTAAGAACTGTTAAGATCATAAATGTCACTATTTTTGTGGTTTTTATGTGTTTCTGTCCCTTATGGTTTTCTCCTAATAGCTAAAAACACCTTTGAAATTTCGTTGTTTCCTTAGTGGTGCTAAAAAAAAAAAAAAAAAAAAAAGCTTAAGAAATCCTGTGTGTGTGTGTGTGTGTGTGGTGTGTGTGTGTCAGGCGTACTGTGGGGGAATCTCAGGGGAGCTTCCCTGTGCCCTGGGGAATCCCAAGGGGAAGGTGGGTGTGGGGGGGCTCTCCCTTCTTAGTCACTCCTAAAGCCAAGTGGGAAGTCCCTGCATTTTGTTAGAAGCCTATTGCTTACCCTCCCCTCACAACTTCTCGTTCTCATTCCCTTGCATTTGCTGCCAGAGACAAAAAAATCCATTTATTTGACAATGAATATTTTAACATAACGACTTGGATTTTTTTTCTTTAGGATTCTGTGACATTTGAATACTGCCTTTTTAGTCCACCCATTTGAATTTCAGTTCTGGAATCAGGATTACTATATCACACTCCTGGGTGTGAAATATTGGAGACTCAACCATGGTGATCAAACAGTGGGTGCTTAGCAGTTCCTGGAGCTGAGCCGTGCATGCTGGATCCTTCTCTAAACAGTTTCAGGAGACTGCCAGTTGCACGGAGGAGCTGAGCTTCCAAGGAGGCTACTCCTCAAGAGAGACCTGACCAGACTCCTGGGCCAGAGCCCTTCAGTTCCCGCTTCTAAGTCAACCTGAGCTGCAGGGGGAGAAGAGATTTTAAAGTGATGTAAGGACAGGGAAGTTTTCTAAGAACTCCTTGGGAAGTGTGATGAAGAAGGTTGCAGAAGGAAGTGATACAGGCCCTGGAAGAGCTGTGTTAGCCTTGGGGACATCAGCCAGATGTTGCTTGGTGTCCACAAACTGGTGGGTGGGTGGGGAGAGACAATGGTTTCTACTATTACTGTTCAAAATGGTTTTCACATTTGTAACTGTCCACGAACATGACCCCATTTTCATGGTTTAGGCCGGTAGGGATGCCAAGGAGGAAGGCAGAGGGAGACAGCCTGGTTTCCAAGTGACCCAGTGTCCTATCGGTCAGGTCCCCTCCCCCTCTGGGCGAAGGGCAGGGGAGGGAGAGTGTGAAGGGGGAGGGGAGTGCGTCACCCCTGGTTGCTGGGTTGTCAGTCTCCCAGAGTCCCCAGCTTTCCAGGTAGGGACGCCCCCTCCCATGCAGCTGGGGTTCCGGAGGGTGGGAAGGAGGGGCTGGGCTCCGAGCGCCCGCCCCTCCATCTATCACATGGCCGGAGAGTCACAAAAACAACAGCTTTGGCCAAGACCGTGACTTCAGAAAAGGGAACCCAGCTCCCACAGCCAGCCCCCTCCCCATGGAAGACAGTTTTCTTGAATCCTTTGGGAGGCTCAGCCTCCAGCAGCAACAGCAGCAGCAACAGCCGTCTCGGCCGCCGCCCCCGCGGGGGACGCCTCCGCGGCACCACAGCTTTAAGAAACACCTCTACCTCCTGCGAGGCCTCCCGGGCTCGGGGAAAACCACACTGGCCAGGTAATGACAGCGGCCTGGGCGCAGGTGCGCGGCCTGGGGCCACCGAGCACGCCGGCCGAGCGCGCCTCTGCCCGGAGCTGCTCCCCGCGCGGCTCGCGCCCCTGCGGCGGGCGCCCGTCCTGGCCGGCCCGGGCCCGGGCCCCGCACCTAGCCGCGCGGGGAGCCTTGGCCGCCGTCACCCCCTCGGGGGCGGCTGGTGTCCCCGGAGGCGCCTGTGGCTATAGGCGCCTAGAGAAGGGTGCTCATCTTGTTTGTTTCCTGCGGCGCCTTCCCGGGAGGACGGATTTCGGCACTGCGCCTTGCGCAAGTCCCCGATGGCACCGACCCCCTTCCCCGTGGCCGTGCCCGGCCTAGTGCCAACGCAGCCTTCACCGCCCCTAGCCTCCCAAGCGCGGGCTAGGGGAGACTGGCTGCGACACTTCTTCGAGAAACCCCTGTGGCGACTGCAGAAATTCCTGCGGGGCGGCCGGCTAGCATGCAGGCAGCCGCCACAGTGCGTCAACAGGCGTTTGGAAAGAAGTGGAGTCGGTGCAGGGCTTGTGCTGGGGATGGGGCTGGGGGCCGGGTGGCACGGCCGCGACCCAGGACTTGCAACTAGCATTAAAAAATCTGATGGGTTCAGGCAGCCTGCGTTTGCTTTGGCAGCTGCGAAGGCATACAGGTGCACGGGGGAGAGGGGCTGGCCGCGCCACCACAGACTGATGTGTTGACAGAGCCTCGTCTTGGGGCTCAGTGTTTACTTGAGAATTGCGTCAGCTGCCCACCCGGTACCAGGTCAGCAGGAGTCAGGCGGGCTTCTTGCCTGCTGTTACCTTGCTAGGCCCACAGCTGCAGCCTGAACTCCCAGCACTCTCTGCCTTGAACTCGATGTTCCAGCAACGGTGAACTGTTTTTCTCCTTGCCGGGGACTGACTCAGGCCCACCCACCTGGCTTGCCCTCCCAGCCTCCCTTTTCTCCACTGATTACCTGGCAACCGCCCACCCCGCTGGTAGATGCTCCGCGGCTTCCTGTTTATAACTGTGACTATGCTTAGATTTGCACATGGTTTTGTTTTGCTTTCTCTAAGTTTCTTGAAGGAAGGGGCCCTCAGGCTAACCTGCCAAGCGCATAACGTGGCAGGTGGTTGGTGTTCCATGGTGGTGTGCACTCTGCACTCAATCCCTACCCTGCATTCCTGGGAACCTTCTCATCTTTGGGGAGATGCTATGGCTGGCTGTAGGACCTCGGAACTGCTCAAGAATGGAGCAGTACCCTTCTTGATGGTACTCAGTGACCTGGGAGGGGTAAGGGTTCTAGAGCAGACGGCACTATGGCAGCTGTGGGGAGGTGCTTTCTGTTTGATATGGATTCCTGGTTGATGTGTGGAGTGGTGCTTGCAGCCAAAGAATATGTTGTGTTTTTGGATTAAAGGAATGGCTGCGTCTTGGAGGGCCATGGTGCCTTTTCTTGCGACCTGGGTCACAAACATGTCTCAGTAGCGCCACTCTGGCTCTGGAGTGGGGTGGGGGGGAGGAGGCAGAGTCAGGTGGGAGAGTGGGGAGCTTCTTGGAAAACCCCATGGAATTGGTTTATTTTGTGATGCAGTCATTTTGGATACATCTGTTCCCAACTGACTCTCCTCTGAATGTCAAACCTTGAATTTCTCTTTCACTTCCCTGATCTCTGGCCTACCATATACTAACCCTTAAACCAGGAAGTAAGGCTTTTTTTTGTCAGACACTTTGAAACTGTTATTGTGAGGGAGAGTTATTGTTATACGGGTGGAAGGTGCACAGAACTGAATTTCTGAGTTTTGGACCTCACTTTCCTCGTTGTAAGGAAGAGGTTTGGCTGGGTGGTCTTTAAGCTCCTTTCTGGTTTCCCCATTGTACACTTTCTGGGTATTAAACTCCTGATTGACAGTTGGCAAAGCAGAAGCCCCCAGGCCGAGGTGAACACTGGCTTGGAGTGGGCAGGTGTGCCTTCCGTGTGCTTGGTCCCCAGCTCGTCACATGTGCTCCCTGACAGGTCCTCTGGCTCTTCCGGCTGTCAGACCTTGCCACAGGCTGCTCACAAAGGCTAGGCAAAGAGCTCTGACTTCAGGGTCCAGTTGTGGCTTCACAACCAAAGCTCTGCTCCTCAGCTAACCTGTGCCTTGGTTTTCCTTCCTGCTCAATGGGAATATCTTTTCTGTCTGCCTCAGAGGACGCGATGTGAAGATTAAATGTCTGTTAGAGGGCTTCCTAAACTTCAATGTACACTATACACATTTTAAAAGAGGTTTTGGTTACTGCTGAAGCTGTTGTTCATGTGGTAACCTAGGTAGTTAGTGGGTGGAAACCTGGTTCTGGGGTACAGCAGGCAGCTGCGAGTTGACGCCCAGTGCTCCCGTGAGGTTGGGCGTTGGCGGTGCTGGGCGCAGAGCTTCATGTGCCTTAGGGTAGACTGTGGCTCTGTACCCAACCAAGCCTGCAAGGAAATGAGCCATTGCTTAGCAAGGAGAGGGGTGGGCAGGGAGGATGCGGTGATGCTGACGAAGTCACAGGTGTGGCCTTCAAGGAGCTGCCTCCCCCACTTTTTAGGAAGGTGGGCTTGGGAAGAGAATGGAAAATTGTTTGAAAATGTATAGACAGTCCCACTGTAAGGTCATCTTGTATATTGTTTGGTTCTGGGAAATTCACATATTCTATATTTCATGTATTTTCCAAAATTTTATACTGAATATGTATTTATTAAATTCTTATAATAAAACACTTAACAATTTGAAGAAATTGGTTTTCACAAATGTGGGTTCCTCTTTCTGGTTAACCTTTATTTCTCATTTTATTAAAGAGCTAATAAAATCGGTTTGAAATTAGGTTATCTCTTGTCTTCCAAATCAATGTTAGATTTCTATATCTTTCTACCTTTTTGTTTTTATAGCTTGCAGTGGCTGGAATGTGGAAATTATCTGTTTAAATTTTTGGAACTTAATAAAAACATTTGGAGTTTTATCTGGGTTAACATTTTTAAGGCATAGTGGATAGCTAAAAGACTAGTATGCTTCCTCAAAATTTGTCTTATTGCCTCTATTTCATTTAAAACAAATCTTTTAAAACAAGTTTTTACCACGGGCCTCAAGGCTGCTTTGGCAGAAATTCATTTTAATTACTGGATAAGTACATTAAGATAGAGAAATGTTCACTGCCGAGCTTTTTTTTTTTTTGTATGATAAAAAAATGTGAAACAGATATACAAAAATGCAGATATAAGTCATGAAGTCATCAATGGGAACATAGGTGAATATTCGATATGCAAATATAGGCACCCCCTTATGAAGTTAAAAAGCCTATTTCAAAGATACACACGTTCTACTTTCTGTTCCAAAAAGGATGTCTGCACATACACGTAGAAAAATGTGTGAGAAGACATGTCTGTTGGTAGTTGTTGACTGAAAATGGGATTATGGGCTTCTCTCCTGTGATTTATTTTCTAATATTTCTACAATGAGTATGTTACCTGATAACTTTGAGTTAGCACCGGTCACTTAGTTCTTCAATACCTCTTGATCCTTTTGATGGATGTTATAGTCCAGTAGTACATTGACTGTGAGATATCACATTACTGTGACACAAACACCAACCCTAACAATGGTCGTACCCACTTTCCTGTAGCCCTTAACCCTTTGTGCCCTAATCAACTATGTAAAGATCATCAGAATAAAATAATAACAGTAATAATGAAATAAACACTGACCCTAGGCTCCTGTCTGTGGATTAAGCGCTGTAGAATGTGTGTACTAAATAAATGCCAACTATTCATTATTTGTCAACTATTGTTAATTACTAGTCACTAATCCACAATGACAATGTGCACAGAGGCCTTATAAGACCAGTAGCCTTTGTGTAGTTAGGTATATAGGCCAAGTAAGGTTAAGAAAGGACCTGGCACAAGACTCAGCCATGGAAAACCTAAATGAGCACACTGCTATGGGTAAGTAGGGGCCAGTGGGGAGTGGTGGCTTTGCTGGGTGTGGTGGTCACAGATTTCCAGAAGGATGGCTCTTGAGCTAGTCTACCTGAAGCAAAGGGAAGGGAATGGCACCACGGCTAAGCAGACGGGTGGGAGAGAGCTGGGTGTTCCTGTGGGCTTGGCTGAACTGGTAGGTTCCTGGAAGTGACTTCATGGATGAGTTCCCACAGCAACACTGTAGAGAACAAAGAAAGCTAGATTAAGGAGTGCAGAGCTTGGTTCAGAGGAAATAAGATTCCAGTGTCAACGGACCCTTTGCTTCAATCTCAGCAAATGATCCAGCTCTCGCCTCAGCTAAACTGGCAGGCTCCTCTGGGTCTGCACCTGTCCTTGTCTCCTTTTTCAATGAAAGCATTTGGGATGAGTCTCTGCTTTCGCTCTGTGTGTGTGTGTGTGTGTGTGTGTGTGTGTGTGTGTGTGTGGTAGTAGTAGTAGTAGAATTGTATTCCTGTGTTGACCATTCTAACCATTTTTTAAAAGTTGTTAATTCTAAAGAGAGGGAAGGTGGGAAAGAGAGGGAGAGCCTATCTCTTGATTCACTTCTCAGGTACCTACAATAGTAGAGACTGGCTAGACTGAACCAGGAAGCAGAAACTCAGTCTAGTCACTCACAGCGGGTGGTCACAGCCCAACTCTAGCTCTCCTGCTGCCTCCCAGCATATACCTTAGTAGGCAACTGCTATAGGGAGGGGAGCTGGAACTTGAACCTGAACGCTTGGATATCTTAAGCAGTATTTTCACTGCAAGGCCCAATGCACACCTTCACCCCCCAGTCCCAATTTTAATCATTAAATTCAATGACATTAATTATATCTATGATGTTGCACAACACCGTTTTTGAAGGTTTTTTTTATTACTCCATACTTTGTTCACATTAGGCAATAACTCCCTATTTCACCCTTGCCCTATAACCTCTCTGTTACTTCCTCTCTCCATGTATTTGATTAAGTATGCCTTTCATATAAGTGTGTCATATAGTATCTAATTGTGTATGTGCATGTGACTTATT